AGATCCAAATGCGAAGTTAAATTTGTTAAAGAAATCCAAAATTTAATCAATCAACTAGCTGGAAATGACTTTTCAAGTTCAACGTAACTCACTTGTACACTGATCACATAAAACTAAAGTTGTAAGACATTTAAGAAGTGTACCAATAAATGGTAAGATGATACAGTCATACCAGTTTGATCTGTAGGAGATTTTGAATAATGAGCTGAAAGATTACAAACTCCAACTGAAAATTTGGGATCGTAAATGAATTGACCAAGAATCTTTGCTTTTTACAATGTACATTTTGTAGAGATTACTAATAATGTAACAATAAATGTATTCTGTCAATAAAAATATGTTTTGAGAATAAATATGTGGTCAATATTAACTGAATAATTGCGTATTGAACTGCATAACTGAATAAGAAATAACTCTGAGAAAGAATTAATTGAATAAGCCGTAATAAAATTTCGTTTCTTCAGTCAATCGGCAAGCATTACAATGGTTTTCTTAATCACTATCCATTTTCAGCTAGCCAATTGAAATCTAGTTATGGTGCACTTTGTTGAGGTTCAAATAGCATGGTGAAAATATTTATCAGCTTTTGGTTGATTTATTCTGAGACTTTGTCGGAGTGGCTGGTGTCGCTGGCAGTGACAATGGAATAGATGGTATTTGATAGTCATTTGGTAATACAAAATCACTTTGTTTATTGCTAAAAGGTAGATCTTCGTTTTCATTCTGTAAGATTAAATTAGAAAGAAATATTAAAATCACAGTGTTGGTGAAAGTTTGAGGAAAATAGTAGCTTACTAAAACATCCATATCATAAATTGTGTCGAGGTATTTCCAAATAACTTCAGAGGTAACTTCCTGACCAGTTAATCGGTTAAATTCTTCCTGTACAAAGATCATCTGGAAAAACCTATTTATACCTAAAAAATAACAGATAATTTAATTTGTAAAAAATAAAATTAGATCGACAATTGATAAATGGTCAAAAAAATACTTACCAACAGGTCTTCGTCACCTAATGCATAAAAAAGTTGAACTTCTTTCTCTGGTTTCCATGGCTGAATTTCCTCTTTTTTATTGCGACTAGA